TGTCCCTGCCCCTTTCCTCTCTCTCTGTCTGCCTGTTTTTCTTTTTCTCTCTGCTTTCTGGCTGCCATGAGGTGATCAGCTGTCTTCCACCGTGCTCTTCAGTTATGTTTTGCCTTGTAGCCAGGTGACCATGGACTGAAATCTCTGAAAATCTTAAACAAAATAAACCATTACCTCCGTGAAGTTGTTTATGTCATCCGTTTGGTCCCAAAGATGTGAAAAGGGTGGAGTACACACCATTTTTAAGGGATGGAAGTTTAGGGTGAAAGACCTCTGTATTTTTCTATACCTTTTGAGTGGTATTCTTTTAATGGGTGACAAGTCAGAGCTCAAGCCCTCACATTTCTTTGTCTTCTGTTCCTCTCCTGGTTACTAATAGGAGTATATAGCATTATGAGCTCATTTCTAGGTAAACTGTTAACCTTAGAAGAATCAGATTAGGATGTCATTTACCAAATAGAGAAAGGAAGTTTCACCTTCTTTGGTCCAACTGTATAAATTATTCATAGTATTTAAGAGCAAGGTCTGCCTTCCTTTTTTTTTTTTTTTGTGGTTTTTCTCCGGTACCGGGAACCGAACTCACGACCTTGCGCTTGCCAGGCAGGCGCTTTTGCCGCTGAGCTAAATCCCCAGCCCCTGCCTTCCTTTTTAGTTATTGAATTGAACAGAACATTTTTACATCAGAAATGTAAATGGCAGGGATTTCCTGTACTTAATTTTATCCCTCAAAACCAAGAAGCACCTTGATATAGATAGGCTTATGTAAAATTTGTTACAGGTTCTGTATATTTTGCAAGTGTCTCACATTTTATTCCATTTAATTCAGTTTTCTGTATGGTGAGATAGGGGCAAATATATTTTTCTTAACAATATTTTGGAGACTTTCTGCTATGAGCATTTGAATTGTAAAATTGAAATTGTAAAATTTGTTTTGGCTTCCTAGAAAATATAGTTAAGTAAATGTAGCTAATTTTATGTCAGTTCGATTAGGTCATAGGATGCCTACATAGCTGGTTAAACATTGTTTCTGAATGTGGTTGTGAGGGTGTTTCCGGAGAAGGTTAGACTTACTATGTTGATGGGCAGTGTTCAATCTATTAAAGGACTGAATAGAACAAAAAAGGTAGAAGAGTGAAAGAACTCTGACTGGCTGTTTGAGATAAACACTGATCAGTTCTTAGTGCTCTTTGCTCTCATACTTTCAAGCCCAGAGCATTTCAGAATCCCAATGATTGGAGAAAAGGGAGACCCTGTCTTCTTCAATAGTAGAAACTACAATTTATTGGAATATTTATTCCTTTGACTTTGCATACTATTCTCTGAAGTGTTTTACCTATAATCTTCCAAACACCCTGATTTCTCCTGTTTTATAATTTAGGAGACTGAGGCACAGAGAAATAAGTAGTTTGACCAGGGTAAGAGGCCAGGTTGGGGTGTAGATTTCAGAAAGGGTGCCAGACTGCTGTCAAACACTGCTTCAACTTGAACTTTTGGGTCCTATTTAAAGATAGAAATTAGAGTTGCATTGTCCACCATTTGAGAAACAGAAAGACAAGTCCATCATTTTGTACAATTCCAAAAGCGTAATTCACATAGTGGTTTGTATCAGTGGTAGCCCGTGGAGCTGCTAAATGTACAGCTTATGCAGAAAATGCTGTGGGCCTGCGGCAATGGTCTCACTACCTATTTGGAATCAAAGATCAACATTCTGTTCTCACAATTAATTTTATATCTTCCCACGACTGCTAGGCAGTTCCTCAAGGTGAATTAAACCCTCGATAGTTGTTCATTTTGTTTCCAGTTGTGGGGAGCAATAATTGAAGACTAGAGTTCTCAGAAATGAGCTCTAAGGAGCTGGAGGCACGTTGCTCAGAGGTTTAACTCCCCGGGACAGGTGAGCATGATGATGACTTTTCCATGCTGTTACAGGCCAGGTACAAAATGGTGACTCACTGTCCTCCAGTGGCACGCATGTCGGCCCTGTGTCCAGCCTTTGCATTCAGTGGGGCGTGACTCCCACTGAGTAAGGAAGTCATTCCAGCATGGAGATTAACCTCAGAGTTTGCCTGGCAGGTACTGACCCACTCACTCTCTGCACTACAGAGCCGGATAATTTGCATTATAGGGCCTATTTTGTGAGAACAGCAACAGTGAAGGAAAAAAATTTATCTTTAGAAAGCAAAGTTCATTTCAGAGAAAAAAATATTGAGCATATCTGCTGAGTAGCAGAGCAGAATGGGAGTCACAGCTTTCACCTCAGGTTTATGGCTCCTTGACTCTCATTTTTTTAAACAAAATTAAATTAAATTTTTTTTTTGTTATGCAGAATTGAATCCAGAATTCCCACCAAGCTACTTACTGAGCCCTTTTTTATTTTGAGCTAAGGTCTTGCTAAATTATTAAGTTGCTCAGGTTGAGTTCGAACTTGTGATCCTCCTGCCTCAGGTTTCTACTGTGCTGGGATTACAGGCATGTGCCACCATAGCTTTTGGCTCTCAGGATTTTAAAATGCACCAATATCTTTCCTGGGACTACAGCTTGCAGGAAGTAGATCATGGGACCTTACTTTTAATATTATGTGAAAAAAAAATACACAATTTCTCTATTTCAGTCACTCTCTCCCTCCTTCCCCCCCATACATATATGTATGTATTTATCTATAGCTATATTGTTTGGTACTATTTCTTTCTCTGGAAAACCCTAATATAGTAAATGAGATATTTGACTTAAATTGGCAATTTTAACTTACGGACATTATTCATAATTCCTCCTTCCCTAAGAGATGTGCCAAAGGCTATGGTTGATAGGAAGCTTGTTCTACTTTCAGTGACATCAATTTTTGTCTGTATAACTTTTGGGAATAGGTGGAGAAATGATAGCTGAAGATTAGGATGCTTAAAAGATTAATGGAAGAAAGTATAAAGGGAGGCTGATAGATTTAATATAGTAATAAATAAGGAAATAAATTTGACTCTGTAACTTTAGCTAAACATTGACTATAGAGAACTTTTATGGAGAAAAACTGGAGACATTAAATGGCAAGAACTAGTAGTAGCGCTGTATGGAAAGAAGTGAACCCTCAATTCTGTTAGGTACCCTTGGCCACAAGTGAGAGGCTTATAGAAAGTAGATTCTAAATTTTCTTGGGAATGAAATCCACGTCACACTGTATATCCCCTGAGAAACAGTACTGGTAAAATATCTATCTGATTTACTATGAGACATTGAATCATAGGCTTACAGATGCTGAGAAGTGCAGTGATCTGCTGTCTGACAGCTGGAGATTGGGTGAAGATAGTGGTACATGATTCAATTCAATCTCAGGCCCCTCCTGAGACAGGGCATAAGAGCAAATGGAGCCATTGGTATAAATCCTAACTTCACAGAGGTGAGATGAACTGTCCCAGGTCAATCAGTGAGAAAGACAAAAAGGGGCATTCCTTCTTCTTCCACCTTTTGCTTTATTCAGACCCACACTGGGCATGTGTTTCACTGAGTCCACTAACTCAAATGGTAGTGTCATCCAGAAACACCTTCTCACGCATGCCCATAAATAATATTTATTCTGGCCCAGTAAAGTTGACATAAAATTCACTATCACTCTGTCTTTAGTGTTCATTCTGAAAGGCCAAATTCATGACTGGAAATTTAGTCAGCTCTTATAGAAAGTAAATGAAAAGATGATGAACATTTGAAGCTAACGCAGAAATAATACTTAAAGGGCCTTCCACCATGACTGCTACCAAAACTTGCTTGGAGATGATTGTGTGTGTGTGCGCGCACGCGCGCGCGTGTGTGTGTGTGTGTGTGTGTGTGAGTGAGAGAGAGAGAGAGAGAGAGAGAGAGAGAGAGAGAGAGAGAGGAGGTTGGGGATATAGATAGGGAGAAAAGAACAGCTATGTTGCAAATGCTAATCAAGCAGAAATACCTTCAGCAAAATAGAATTTAGCTATAGAGTGTAATTTGAAATTAAAGAAATGCCTTCATACCAAACTGTCTGACCACTTCAGTGCATTCTCATTAGTGAGTCATTGCTTAGGACTTAAAATGTATTTCCAGGAAAATGCAGGGCTGATATCTCTGGAAAGCATAATATTATATCACTATAACTCACTTTTTTTTTTTTTTTGTCTTTTTGAGACAGGGTCTTGCTATGCAGTTCAGGTTGGCCTTGAGCTCACTTTGTAGCCCAGGCTGACCTTGATCTCCCAATGATCCTCCTGCCTCAGCCTCCCGAGTGCTGGGGTTACAAGCATGTGCCACCACACACGACTAACACTAATACTGATGGATTAGTTTATTCACTTGCCACTGGTTGATCCTGGAGTAGACAGAACAAAAGATAACATTTTGGAAAGAAAACTGAGAGTAAGATATATTCTAGATAGGAGCAATGTGTGTGGGACACAAGCCTATGGGAAATTCACTTGATGAACCAAGACAAGATGGGTTGCAGCATAAGAAAATTTGATGTCAATGAAGGGAAGGCTTGGAATACAGAAAAGAAAGTTTGTGGAGAATGAAGATGCCCCCTCCTTTTTTTGTAGAGATTGCTTCCTAGATTTTTGTAAAGATAGATAACCACTTTTAAGGCTTCAAAAGTGCCCCATTTGTGGGGAGCAGAACAGAGTATTGGGAGTCAGAAGTTCTACAACCATCCAAGTTTTCAAGCCTGTTAAGCAACAGTTATGTGGTTCTCTATCTCTTATTCTAGGGCTCCACGGGTATAGGCGCTGCTTTATATCTGTTAGAACTAAAAAACAAAAACAAAACAAAACAAACCCCAAAACATCTAACATTAGAGAGATCTTTGAAAGTTTAAATGAAATTAAAAGAACTTACTTCTTTCCTACTTGAAAGCTTTTCATCCATCCTCCATTTAAAATTATGCTTGTGGTATCTATTTTCTGTAACAACTTTCCACTGCCCCAAGGCAAAACGATCAAATATCTCATTATCTAAAATTAGCAGGCCCAAAACCTTCATTTTCTTATCAGAGTTTATTGTTATACATATGAGGTACCATGCCACTATTAGAAGTATATCCAGATTTGTTCTTTTAAAAAACTCAGAGAAAAAAATCTTTCCAGTAATTTTCATTCAATGTGAATGACAAGAATATTATAACTATAAACATTGAAATAACCATTTCATTTCTTCCTGAGGAAGTTTCATATTTTAAGCAATGAAAAAGGGAATTCTATACAAAGCTAGTTTTAAGTCACATTATTTGTCATTCTTTTCTCAGGTATATTTTGTTACTTTCAGAATAGCATAATAATCAGATAAAGTATAGTATAAAAAGTATGCATGACCTCTAGAATTTTATGCTATCTCCAAGACATATTAAGTGATCAAAAATCCTGTCAAAGATTTTGTTGCTTTTCATAGCACTAAAGATGAACTTGTGAATGAGTAAATTTTGGTACTGTCTTTTTCTCTCCATTCATTATATAAACACTGAGTATATTTTTAACATTTACTTTAAAGGATGAGCACAGTTAACTCAATTTAACTACACAAAAGATGCCATCAGCAGTTTTATTTAAAAGCTCAAATGTATATCTTACCTTGAAGCGTATATAGATCAGTTATCATTTTCTTTTTTCCTGTATCAGCAGAAACACTGCTGCTGTCTACTGTTGTTCTAATCTGACCTTTGCAGGGCCAGACTTGTTTTCTTAAATTAATAAAGATGAATGATTATCTTAACATGTTTGGCTTGTGCTGCCTCAAAAGAGACAGTAGTAAGCGTGAAAGTTGAGTCTACTACATTTGCCCGAATGATTTTGATTATGGTTTTTAGTCAGGGGTTTAAAAATTTTTTTTCTCAATTCTTTGTGACATTTGTTTTAAAAATTAGTGTATTCTTTGGGTACATAAAACTTTAAAAAACTTGATTAATAATTACAAAGTACACTAAAACATTTATAGTAAGTAGAAGGATATCACAGCTTCTCTTCTAATTAGTAAATAATTGATAGAGTTTAATTTCACATATTATAATGACAATGGAAATATTAAGCTATAGCTTTTCCTTGCATACCTTTTTTCCTAATCATTCCTTTAGTTCTATATTATAAATGCTAGGTAACAATAGCATGGAATTTACTTGCTACTTAAATTTTATACATGTGTAAAGTACATTTAAAATTAAATAGTAACACAGGAAAATAAGTATGACTTATTTTCTTTTTTTGAACACTTTATTAGTCATATATATCATTTAAAATATAAATGTAAATATATTTTGAGAACCATGCTTTGCTAATTTTTATACGTCCTGCATTTAATTTAGTAGATAATCAGGAAATTTAACTGTATTCTATTACCTTCCATGAGAATGATGTATGAAATATTGTCAAAATATGAGAATTTATCCTGCTTATTTTTCACTGCTTTGTACAAAAGTATCATTTCAAATACTGGAAACAAGTCATATATTAACTTTTTGTTATAAACCTATACTTTATACAATTTTATTTGAACATGTGGGAAAATGTGGTTTTTCAATAATTTAAATGTGAATAGCCTAAACACATCATCTAGGGAAACTGTTCTTAGTTTTCAGTTAGTAAGTTTTATTCTGGGGAACATAAAAAAAGGTCATTTATATTTAAAAGTTAATCTCTTTCTGGAGATGATACATACTTCAGACTCCATGAATACATTTTGGCAGAACTAGAGAGGACTTTTGCAGTAGATTTATAGCTTACCACAAGTGGGCATACAATTCTCAACAGTATATCTTGAGATCGAGATCTCTAACATTTCTCTCTTTTAGAACATTTAATCAGTACACTTACATTATTATTTACTGTTTTGATATACTCAGTGTGTTTCTATTTACCATCTGACAGGTTTACTATATATATACATTTCAATATAACAGTTACATTATGATGGAAACTTTAGTCATTTTTTACACAAATGTACTAGATTATATATGTGAAAAAATCAATTTTTTAGCACTTATCTTTTTTGATACAGATAAAGCTCAAATATAACTTTTCCTCTGTCTGGTCTAACACAAATTATAATTTACATTTTTTCTAAATACTTCAGTGAAGTGAAATGTTGGCAAGCATTTTTCATGAATGTTATGTTTTTGGAACTATATGTTATATTGTGGTGTTTATTTTGGTTTTTGTTTGTTGGACACTTTATAAAATCAAATAATAAAAATACGTACAGGCAAACAGTGGTCTAAAAATGTACAGAGACGTAATCTTAGTTGATATACAAAAGTGTAAATATTACTATGACATGGAACATTTTGCATTTGTGTTTGTTATGTACGTTGATTGCTATTGACTTCCACATGAGTGCACAGTAATCTACAGCATCCCACAGACAGCTGTGGTTGATGAGGAAGGCCACAGGCCTCAAGGCTTATAACAGGTATTTTTTCTTTCCCTAATCATCCACACGCCAGCATATGGAAGGAACTTGGTTCTTTTTCTTGCTTGAAGAGGTATATTTTTGACAGCCTTTCGGTAGCTCTGGAAGCTTTGGAAAAGGTGTATGTTATTACATGGCAGATAAATTCTCAAGAAGTTTTTTCTCAGTGCTATCTCACTTTCTGCAGCTCTTGTCTCAGCCAGGATGGCAGAGGCTGCCCCAGTTTGTGCAGCAGCTTTGAGAGTTCCACGTTGTGATCTCTGTAGTAGCTTGACAGAAATGCTCTGCTCTGAATGGGGAGGGAGAGATAGAAATACATTTTATTTTGTTTGTTACAGTATATTTCATAGACTTTGATTATGTTTAAATATCAAATATACCATATCATCAGGGCATAATCATGGCTGCCTATAATTCCAGTTAGTCAGTAGGGTGAGGCAGGAGGGTTGCTGCAAGTACTGGGCCAGCCTGGGCTACATAGTGGGTTCAAGGCCAGCCTGAACTACATAGTGAGACTCTGTCTCTAGAAAACAAAAGAAAAAAGAAAAACAAAACACTCTACCAAGAAAATCAAGTATGAAGTATACCATATTGGATTAAAATTGTATTAATTGTGTAGCACATCCTATATGCTTTGTTGATAGTGTTTAGGCAGAGAACTAAGGAACTTTTCCCTCCTAGAAGGAGAGGTGAACAGTGTGGTGAGAATACTGCTTACTCCTATCTTCCCTACATATTTCTATTTCTATTTCCTCTTGGAGTGTCCTTTACTTTTGCCTCCTTTCTGGAGGCACTTTACTTCCTCAAATAAACTCAAGATGTATTATGCAATAACCTTGCTGAGAGAGATAGACTTGATAACCTGAAAAATTGGTTCTGTCTTATCTGTGTCTACCAACAAATTTTGTACTGTTTCTTAATATGTCTATATTAGACATACAAGAAATTCATTCTTCAGTACCTTTTAAACAGTTTAGCTTTAATAAATATATGGGGAAATAGCTCTGATATAAAAATAATGTATTTTTATCTTGCTTTCTTGAAATACTATAAAATTGCCTTTTAATTTCTTTTGCTACACTAGGATTGTTTACATAATAGTATAAAGTAATATTTCAAAAATTAGTCAAATAAAACTGGAGTTGTCAGAATGTAACTTCTCCCAAAACAAGAGAATCTTTCTCTTCCCCATGCCTCTCATACAGAATTTAAATATGATCATGTTGAGTATAGGGCCTATCTCTATCAGGCCTGGTATCACAAATGGTCCTCGAAGTCTTGTTAGATAAAAATTTTCTAGTAAGTTTGCATTACCCGATGATTCTTAGGCTACTTCAGTATTGTCACTTAACATAATATATTAAATATTGTTGGGAAAAAATCCCAAATGTTTTTACTTCTGAGTTATAAAAAATTATATATCATAATCTACTTGTACTCTTATATCCACAGTATTTACTAACTTGAGTGATTATTAAATAAAAATATGAATAAACCTTGCAATTTGTGAAATAAACATTAAAGTAAAAATATAGCATATAACAACTGAGAAAACTACAGCGTTAAAGTTCATCATGTGACTATCTGAAACAGAACAGACATAAAATGCTGATACCACAATGTGTATGCTTCCATTCTTCAAAACCTAAATTATCTGGTAGTATGTTAGCATTTGGAAAATATGTTAATTCTCTGAGTTTATTAGCATATTAAAGCTCAAATCTTAGTACATTATAGCAGTAATTAATATATTATTCTGGCTACACTTAAGAGTACATAATGATTTGACAGTGAAAAAAGTTAGAAATTATTTAGTCCTATTTCTTATAGATAATGTCTTTCTTTGGTTTCAGGTAGCATTTTTAGTCCTAAAATTTCTGTGTAAATATATTTATGTATATATATATATATATGTTTTTTTTTGAACAAGATATCTTTTTGTTCTGGTTCAAAATGTCAAATTCCACTGTTTTCTTCCTGAATGACAAGTACTAGTACATAATTGGAAAAATCAACACAAAAAACCTTCATGTATAGAACCTTAAATGTTACTTTTAATTTGTAGGAAAGCTGAACTTGATTGCAATCTTTTTTTTTTTTTTTTTGGTTTTTCTCCGGTACCAGGAACTGAACTCACAACCTTGCACTTGCCAGGCAGGCGCTTTGCTGCTGAGCTAAATCCCCAGCCCCTGCAATCATTTTTTTTTAAGAAAATAGATAAGGTAGATATTATTGTTTTTTACATTTAATTTATATTTTTAAAACTGTACTTACATCAGAATCCATTGGAGGGTATTTTCTTCCTTTACTCTTTCCAAGGCATTTTGTTTTACCTTCTTCCAATAACTGACACCAGAAGCCTTTATGAGAATCAAATCTAAAAAAATAGGAAACCCCGAAGAGTATTTTTCAGGCAGTTTGTAAGATTTAGTGACCAATAGCATACGTATTGTTGTTTGAGTATCAATCTAAAACCAGGGAAATGAATTTTTATGATATTCTTTTGTATAATGTCTTCAGGTATACTTCTGAATTCTCAGTCCATATGTCATATTTGTAAGCTTGCCACATGCTTAATCAAAACTTTTTAACAGTAAATATCCTGTCAATAGAAATAATAAGGCTACCTTGTTCATCTGGAAGGAAAAAATTCATAAATCTTAAACCAGTTCTTTTCCGTATAGAGTTAAAAAGTGTCAAATTGGTCTTCATCTACATTTCTGGATTTAGATGGTGTTTGTATGACACAATTACAGGGTCAGTCAAGAGAAAGTTTTGGTATGCCATGGAATGCTTACTTTTCAGATTCTCTAGCTACAATCCATTTAATTGTTTGAGGGCTACTTCTTTGTTTTGGTGATAGCTCTGTATTAAAGTTGTAGGGGCTGGGGATTTAGCTCAGCGGCACAGCGCCTGACTGGCAAGCACAAGGTTGTGAGTTTGATCCCCGGTACAGGAAACAAACAAACAAAAAAAAAAGTTGTAGAACCTATAAGTGGGATTTTTCCCCTTGCTATAGTTATAATAACAATAACAGTAGCATGTTAAATTTATTTTACTTTACCAGAATATTTCATGTAACTGTTTCTCACTTAAGCCTTCATTATAACCCCTGAAGGAGAGGGTATGCAGGATTCTTCTTCTTCTTCTTCTTTTTTTTTTAAATTTTCCAATAATGACAGTTATTCCCCACAAATCTGAGTTCATGCACGGTATTCAATTGTCGTTATTTCTTAGCTTTCTCATCTGGAGTAGTTTCTGAGTCTTTGTATTTCATGACATTGACATTTATGAAAAATACAGGCTAGTTCTGTAGGTTTTCCCTCAATTTGAGTTTGTTTGATGGATGGTTCCTCTTGAGAAGATTCAGGTTATGCACTTCCAGTAGGAGTACCATGGTACTGAGTTCATCCTGGTTCATCAGATCAGGAGACACCTGCTCTGGGTTAGTCCCTTGCTGACACTTTTGATCATTTGGTCCAGCTGGTGTCCGGCAGCTTTTACCATTGAAAAATTACTATTTTATCCTTTGTAAGGGTATATCGTGGAGTTATATTTTTATTATTTACTTTTTATTAAATTTGTTAATGTTACAGAGTTCTTATACTACCAAACTGTGCTTGAGAATCGAGAGAAAGAAATGGTACAATGGACTGCCTCATCTACCCACCATACAGTATATTAAAACTTGATTCACATGCATTTTGTAATTTTAAAATCTTTTCAAAAATTATAATAAGAGCTGGAATTTAAACCTGCTGCAGGTCTTGAGATTTCTATTAGTGTGCCACTAAATCAAACCTCCTATTCGTCTCACTTTACCTGTCAGTAACCAGGGATTATATTTTGAATCATGCATATGTACTTTAATTCTTCCAATTTTCTTTTTGGTACCGGGAATCAAACTCAGGACCTTACACTTGCCAGGGAGGTGCTGCGCCACTGAGCTAAATCCTTGGCCCTTTATAGTACTTGTCATAGTGTTTGGCTCTTTGAATGTTCACTAAATATTAGTTCAATAAACAATGAAAAGAAAGAAAATTTTTTAAGGTTTATTTTTCTTGGACTATATAATTTGTCAGCATTAGTACGGAGGCCTCCTAATTCTAGAGTTAGGTCTTTTTCTTCTCCATAGGTCTCTGGGAATGTTTGTGGTGTTGTTCATTGCAAAACAAACAGTAATTTCTATGCTTAGACATAAAAGTAGTCAGCAATAACAATTCCTTTGCATTGCTTGTTTCATTCAATGATTCCAGAGTCATCGTCTTCTCCATTAGAAATAATTACCAGTTAGGATCACTTTTTCTTTTGGTTTTTAATTGATACTACTTTTTTTTTGGATGCTACTTCTAGTATCTTTCTAAGAATAATGGTGTGAACAATTTTGGAAATTTAAAGACAAATTTATATTATTATAAAACCCTCAAATACATTAAGATAATATTGACAGAAAGCATGTGCACAGAAAACTACAAAACACTGTTAAAAGAGATTGCACTCTTTTCACAGATCAGAGGACTATTTTTAAAATGTCAAGTCTCTCCAGATTTATCTATAGATTCAATTAAGATTAATTGAGATTCCAATTAAGATTCAGGGGAACCTCTTTTCTTTTGTAAAAACTAAAAATGATTAAAAATATATATGAAATTGTAAAGAATCTAGACAAGCTAAAACAATTTGAAACACTTTTTTTTAAAAAAGCTGGAGATCTCACAGTGTATAACTTCATTTACTATAATGCCACAGCAACCAAAGTTGCAGTAGACTGCCATCAGTGCACAGACGGATCAATGGAATAAAGTAGAGTTGAGAAATAGACCTATACATCTATGTCAACTTATTTTCAAAAAATAGGTACTAAACTAATTCAGTAAGAGGAAATTAGTCATTTAAACAATTTGCAGTGGAAAGATTCAGTAGCTACATGGAATAAGTGAACACTGGCTCTCACATCAGACTGTATATAAAAGTTAATGTCAAATTGTTCCCTGACCTGAGCCTAAGAGCTAACCCTATATAAATTATGGAAGAGGGCCAGGCATGGTGGGGCACATCAGTAATCCCAGCACTTTGCGGGGCTGAGGCAGAAGGACCACAAGCTCAAGTCCAACCTGGGCAACTTAGTGAGACCCTGTCTCAAAATAAAGAATAGAAAAATGGCTGGCAAATGCTGTGGGTTCAATTCCCAGTACTAAAAGAAAAGAAAAGAAAAGAAAACAAACAACATACAATTACAGAAGAAAATACAGAGAAAATTTCATAGAGAATTTTTATAACCTTGGATTAGGCAAAGTTTTTTACGATGAATAAGAAAATGATAATTTTGATTTCATCAAAATTTACAATTTGTGCTCATTTTGGCAGCACATATACTAAAGTTTTAGTAATACAGAGAAGATTAACATGGCTCCTATACAAAAGAAAACCACAGACTGAGGGAAAGTATATGTAAACTATTTACAAAAAGGAACTTGCATTCAGAATATATAAATAGATATAAAAGATAACAACATAAATAAAAATTGAGTACAATATTGCAGCAGAAACTTCACCAAAGAAAAAGTGCAAATTATCAAGAAACAAATGAAAATCTACTCCAGATCATTTGTCATCAGGAAAATACAAATTACAAATGAAACAGCACTGACTAGAATGGATGGATTTAAACACCAATACCACGTGTTGGCAAAGGTGTAGAACAGGTACAACTGCCAGATATTGTTGGTAGGAATGAATCCTATTATAGCCACTTTGTAAAGTTTCTTATAAATGTAAATACATGATTATTATGTAATCATTGCAAGGTATTTGGTTAAAGAAAATAAAAATACATGTTCATGCAAACATCTTTACATAGATGTTCATAGTAGCTTTGTTCATAATAGTCAACAACATAGAAACAATTCTGCCCATCCACTGATGAAAGAAGTATCATTCAACAAGAAAAAGATACTTATTGGTGTGACAGGATGAAAAATCTCAAAAGATCTATGCTAAATTAAAGAAAGTAGATGGTCTGATTACCAGAGGCCAGGGCTAAGGGGAAAAGCATGAGGAAACATTCTGGGTTAATGGAAATGTTCTGTATCTTGCTCGTGGTGGATACGACTATAAACACTTGTTAAAATTCATTGAACTGTGTAATTATAATGAATGATTTTTAAATGATGTATCACAATAACATTTTGTAGTATGAATTTATGTGTGAGTATGAGAAAGAAAGACAGTATATCAGAGACTATAATGAAGCTAATCTTGTACAGTTTGTAACTATAGGCTTATAAAAAGAATGCAAACTTAGATTTCTGCCTCTAACCTGACATACTTCTGGTAGTAGGTGATAAAGTAATCACATCCCACTTATGCAGATACTATTTATCATTATTAAAGCAATTACAAGATTAGGCTATAACATGATATGTCTTCCTGCCATTTATATTCCTGTTTGAATCAGTAAGACGGATGAATTAGTTTTATATTCAGAGATATAAGAAAGCATTAAGAAAGACATTATTATTTAGATATAGTAAAAAAGCTTTTGGAAAACACTAATACAACATTTCTGGAAGTCTGCTGTTGATACAGCATTTTGCTATCACAATTGCCATAATTAAATTCTGACATATTTTAATATTCAAATCATCAAAATTCATCTACTAACTTTTGTTAAGATATCTTGCTGTACATAAATGACTCAAAAACACATATATACAGTGTGCTCAAATAAGCAGTCTTCTTTCTAATGAATACTGATATTTATAAGTGTTAAAATTAAGAAATAAAGGTATTTTCTTTCATCTCTGCTAATTGATTAGTTATTTCACAGCAGTTTATTGAGAAAAAAGTGTGTGTATGTGTTTGTTTTGCTGGCACCTACCCTAGACATCTGTATGTGTAAGTTCACAAGTAATAGTTGTAAGTGTGTGTAGGTGGAAATGAGGAGGGAAGAAAAAAATAGATCCTCATGTCTATTTGCTCAGTGACCAGAAAGACTTGGTCTGGTGTGTTACAGAGATCATCTACAGTTAGAAAGTGAAGGAAATGCTTTGATGAAGGGCCTTGTGAGTTTGAGAACACAAGCAATACTGTTTCAGAGCCCAAGTGAAGATGTTTAATAGAATATAGAGAAAAATATATTCAGAATAGCAGCAATGTCCTCCTGCAGAATACTCTTAGTACCACTAATAAAAGCATCACTGGTGTCTGGTAGAACAACAAAGAAGAGACATTTTTATACAGGCACTGGCAGCGATGGTCATGCCTGGGCCTGTCCTTTGAGAGCTTTCAGAAGGTGAACATTTTAGAAGTGTTCCATGCTGTTTTGTATCTCTCTGAATGGCTACCCTATCCCGGGGGTAGGGGTATTTTCATCAT